ATGACCAATCAATCCATAAACATCTATCTCATTCATGAATGACTCAGTCGTTCAAACGAATGAATCAATGACTCGCTCATTAAGACGGTCGCCTGGCGACACCTAATGACGGTTTAGTGTTATGTTTAAAAGTATCATTCTTTCCAACGATTGTTAATTAACTCATATTTGAAACATAAGCTATATTTATATATATACATACATATACACACACATACACAAAAATAAAATAAAAACACATTTGAAACGTGTTTGCTTACTAAATTGTGAGCTGAACGAAAGTTGCAGCAAATATCAGCAACAGGAGTCAAATTTCATTAATCACGAGAGTGAAGAGCTGACTGAAAAGATGATGATGGAATAGGCTATTTTATGTAAAAACGCCTATTTAAGCGAATCTGTCATTGTACTCTTTTATTGTTGTGTTTTCCGTGAAAAATAATAGACTATTGAACTCACAATTCAAGCAATCGGCCCCCGAAATTGCACTAATTTTAGTGACACTAAAAAGTATGCGGCTGCACTGGCATTCATAATGGTGCGCGTCCATGGCGACGAGCGAGCAGAACAGAGCGAACGTTTAGTTAATTTCTACTTCCATAGGAATTCATTCGAGCGCCACCATTTCAATGTCTGTGCGGACGTCCATATTATACTTTCGCTTTCAAGTTAGTGTTTTTAAACCCCCCAGCGGGAGGTTTACACAATTGGTTTACACAATCACACGTTGATTAACCGGTGGGAAAATATTCCCATAGTAACATCCCTAATATATAAATATTTATAAATTCAATAGGCCTACCTGATTTTGAACACAAGAGGGCAGTATAGCACTATATATGATTTGGATTATTATCATTTTTGACTAAACAACCATTCTGGCTGTTTTTAAACTTAAAAATAATTCTTAAATTGAAAAAAAGGAATAAAATGGGTTTAGTTCTAATATTTGTATAATTTTATATAAAAATAAATGGTGTATAATTACATTTTAGAAAGATATGAGACATGCCCTGATTCTTTTTTTGACATTACTTGAATCCCTCAACCATAGCAAAACCGTTTGAGATATTCAATATCTGTTCACAATTTAGCATCTTCAATGTATTTTCATCATGTTGAAAAAGTTTGGCATGAATAAAATAAACTACTTAGGAGGAGTAGCTAAAAACTCAGAATCTGAAATCCACATTCAAACCAAAATATCTGACTTCCTGTTGGTCGTAGCTAATTACGGTAAATTAGAAAGTTGTCCGGCTCGAAGAGTACAATATACATATCGAGTTTTGTTACTGTAGATAAAACTAACCCCCCCACTTTTGTCAAAAGCATTTAGAAAGTGACACACTTCCTGCTGCCAGTTGGTGGCGCTATAACTTTGACTCACAATAGTCACATCCATGTGATCGGCCTCTTACAGCGAACATACTGTTGAAGTTTCATCAAGATCAGTTAATGTATGCAGAAGTTATAACGCACTTCTTGTTTGTTGTTTCTCGCCATAAATTCGTTTCCTCGCCACGGCCAAACCGTTCGAGATATCAAAAATCCCCTCGCAAACTTTCATCCTCAATGTCTTGACTTCATGCTGACCGAGTTTCGTGCCGTTTGTTTGAATTCTCTAGGAGGAGTATTTCACATTCCATTGCGTGTGTTTTACCAACAACCCTAAATAGCCGACTTCCTGTTGGGCTGGGGTAAAAAGTAAGAGTGTGAAGTATATATGAAACGAGGAGATCTACATGTGTACCGAGTTTCATATTATTACATGCAAGCGTGTTTGATTTATGGACCATGTTTTCGGACCCCGTTCCAGGGGGCGCTGTCGAGCCCCCCTGCCACGCCCGGGTACCATCTTCAGCCCGGCCCTGATGGCCGCGGGTTCTGACATGTGTGCAAAGTTTCAGGAGTTTTTGAGCATGTTAAGGCCTCCAAAAGTGTCCAAAAGGTAGCAGAAAAATAATAATAATAATAATAATAATAATAATAATAATAATAATAAATAATCCTAAGGAAAACAATAGGGCCTTCGCCCTTTGGGCTTGGGCCCTAATAATCCTAAGGAAAACAATAGGGCCTTCGCCCTTTGGGCTTGGGCCCTAATAATTTAAAGAGGAGGCTTATATTGAGCTTTTAAGATTTACCTAAGATTTATTTATATGTAGCCTACATATATTTTTGCTATTTTAATAAAAAGGTTACAATTACAACAACAATTAAAATTAACTATATTTCAAATGTAATCTTTCTTTGTATTATATACTAAAGTATACATTTTATCATACATATTTCACAGTTGCGGATTAATTAGTTTGAATATAGCTTACAATCGAACAAACACTAATAACATCTTAGCAACAAGCTTATTTGATGTGGCAGTATTTTACAGTAAAAACGACATCTTGTCTTTCATATGTAACATATCGTTTTTATGATTAGGACATATAAATGTTAATTTGCAGTTTAATACGTTGCTTATACAAAAATATTTTATTTCAACATATTTCAGTCGATTTTTACTCATCTCAGTATTGGAATATAGTTAGGTAAAAGCTGTTAATTCATTCACACACAACAACGCGATTCAAACAGTCTTTTTGTTTACAAACACTATTCCATATCGCGATTAGAACAAAGCACTTGAAAATAAAGAATGTACCTATTTCCTCGGCTGGATCCGTTGCTCCTCCAAATGAAACTACCTGTAGCCTACTTCTGAGGTAATTTTTTCCAGGATTATTATTAAGATAGTACTATTATTCCTCACAGCATCGTAATATGAGTCTCTTTCGGTGGGTTATCCAGCTGATGTGGGCGTGGATCGCCTCAGAGCATTTGTGTTTGAATAGAGCGCGCGCTCCGTGGGCGTGGTCAAATTAACTTTAATGAGCTGAGACGAGAACGACTATCATCTCTCTCTCTTTTCGTACAGATTACATAAAATGAGAAAAATTTTTTTTTATATAAATTACTTCATTTAAAAGAAGATAATTCAGGCTTCATGCCTGTGTGCCTGTATACCTGTTTGACTGAGTATTTGCAGAGTTACAGTTCATTTTTCGGACGCGTTTGAGAATGGACTTCACTGACAGAGAGAACGCAGAACGCGCATCATGTTTATTTTCCTTTATTAGGCGAAAAGCACAACACTTTGTTTTTATTATGAGGTTCCACAAAAAAAATACAAACTTAACAGGATCGAATGATGTACAACACTTATATGTAAGATCAAAATTAACAGAGTAATTTGAGTCTCTTTTGCACTGATAAGGAAAAAAGTCAGCTGGTATCGCCGGCGAGACCGCCGACCCCAGAGAGTTAAAATAAAACTTAAATAAAAAGCTTTTACATTTAGCTTTAAAGTGCTGTAGTCAGATCAAACAAACAATTATGCTAAATGTGGTTTAATGACTACTTCAGCAGGTTGACTGTTGAAATGTGAACTCGACTGGGCATATTGAACTCCCTCAAAACATATACTAATGTCATAGAAGAACCCTTGCAAAATTATTTTAAATAGATTTTAAAAAGCCACCACTACTGGTAACATGATCTATGGTTAGATTGATTTGTTTAGATCCAGTGAAGTCGTTCATAGGCGTAATTTGCGGGTATCTCCAGTTAACTAGCAGAGCATTCATTTAGTTCGCTATTAAATAAGAGATCTGTTGTTTTTGAAATCAAGCTGAGCGCTCGTTGCCGCTGCTATGTGTCATGGATACAGTTCTCTGTCGCTCGCGCAGTCTTCACTCGGACGCGCGCTTCAATCTATCGCCGTTGTGGAGACTCCGGTGAAATCACAAAATAAAATGCACACAAATGTGATGAACATATTCGGTTTTGATGAGAGAGAGAAAAAACTATACGAGTGCGGTTTAGAACCCGTAACCTCTGACACGCTTGGCAAAAGATCTACAGAACTCAAACATAAGATCTGCAGATCGATCATGCATTTATTTACGGGTTGAGCAGAGAGGCTGCACAGTTTGACCAGCGGGCGGCAAGAACTTGCAATGTAACTATTTATCAGACCGGCCCTCGCGGCCTCGAAACACTACCGGACCACCGGTAAAAGTCACGACTCACCCGATTGCCACTCCGCCCGTGCACGCCATTAAAAAAAATACATGAATCGATTTTTGGAATTCTATGAATCGATTCTGAATCGGTAAAGATTGAATCGCGATTCAAATGTGAATCGATTTTTTTTGCACACCCCTAGTATTTATGGCCGGTAAATTTTCTGAAGTCACCGGCCATTGGCAGGTGTTGCAAACAGTTTTAGGCCCTGGGTTTATACCTGGTCTGCAACAATGTTTAGGTGGAACATGTCAAATTTACACCCATCATGAATGGCTGGACATAGGGTTTTCCAGCAGAACATTGCCTAGAGCATCACACTCCCTTCACCGGCTTGTTATCGTCCCACGGTGTATCCTTGTGCCATCACCTCCCCAGGGAAACGGCGCACACGGACACGGCCGTCCACGTTATGTAAAAGAAAACTGGACCATGCAACCTCCTCTCTGCTCCAAGGTCCAGTGTAATGTTTTGGCTCATCAGTGTATAGACACATTTTAAACACATTTTTTTTTCAATAGATTTTCATTAAATGTAACAATAAATTATCCATCAAATCATTTTTAAAAGCAACTTTTAAACTGCTTTTCTTAATCCATTCACCAACTACTTTCTTACAATTTTAAAATCAATTTATTGTTACATTTAATTACATAATTTTAAATGCATACATTTGTCAATAAAAAAAAAAAGTGATTTATTTATTTATTTACATTTTTATACTTGCCAATATTAAAGCCACTGGGAGTTCTGGGAGTTCCTGGAATTCCTCACTACTTCTGATGGTTGCATTGGCGGAAAGTTATCTGCAGCCGGTGGGATTAACGAACAGCTTGACGTGATGTGTGATGAAAGGTGCGGTATCCTCTCGCTCTGTGTGCGAGTACAGGCTTTGATAGTGTGTGTTTGTTTATCTGCAGGTGCCTCAGGATGAGTGGGGAGGTTATCCAGGGGAGGAGGAGATTCCATGCCGCCGGATGCGGAGCAGTAGTTACGTCAAAGCCATGGGAGATGAGGATAGCGGTGAGTCTGATACCAGCCCCAAGACGTCACCTCAGAAGACTGTGCGGTCCGATGCCCTTGTCCTCAAATCAGCCTTGCAGAGGCCACATATAGACACCCAAAGGTAAGTCTGATTAGATCTTTATTGTTCTCATTTTCAACGCTGCGTTGTGCACACACTGACTGCCTGCCTGTTGTTTATCTATCTTTCTTTTCTTCTTCTCGGTTTTAGAAGCTTGAGCTCTTTCCAAGGTGTGTTTGCAGAAGCACTTTTTAGAATTAGCTGGTTTTCTCTAGTTTTTAAGGGTAGATGTTGGTGTCTGATGGGCTGAGTAGTACAGAACACTATTAATGTGCAGAGGAATTTTGTACTGTATGTTATATATTGCATATTATGTTTGTACCTCAGACATTGTTGAAACCGATCTTGTTTGTGGTTCTGGTGCATGATCAGTTTGGGCTCTGGGTGGTTTGGAATATGAATTGCAATATGGAGGGGTGGGATTGTTTTGTAACAAACAGTTGGATCAGATTATGTGCTTTATTTTACAATGTACATCGTATCTGCATATGCTTTTGATATATATGCTTCAGTTCATATGCTTCTCTTAACATCCGCTTCTTTTAAATTATTTTAACTTACTGTGTTGTCATCAGCATATTTTCAATTATTGCCTCTTTTAGCCCTTGAAGCACACTGTCTGTATACAGTATATATACATACATTACAGTAGAATAGTAAAAAATTGTATAAGTAATTGACACACAATTATTATTTACATTGAGTTGGGATTTCATTCTTTGTTTAGATCATCATATTTTTTATATCATAGTTATTATTCATATGATGGATTTTCTATCATAAAAATATTTTAAAAATCCATTTTTAAGAGCATTGCAGAAATATTTGATTAGTTGTTCTTAGTCCAGACATAAGACTTAAGTCCATCTGCAATGTCTTCAGTGACTCTTTTGACACTACCGGTAAAAAATTTGGAATCATTAGGATTTTTTTTATGTTTTTGAAAGAATTCTCTTATACTCACCATAATAAGAAATGTTTATCTTGAGCAGTAAATCAGCATATTGAAGGACAATGTGACAAAGAAGACTGGAGTAATGATATAAAAAACTAATGAATTAATTGGAGTAATGAAAAAATATATATATTAAAGAAAGACTTTTATTTACAAATCCAAGGTAAGGCAATGGGTGCTCTGATAGCTCCAAACTACGGCAATTTATTTGCAATTTATAACAACAATACTTTTTGTTCACATATTAAGTTTTGGGCGCAATATATTGCTGATTGTTTTATGGTATGGTCAGGTTCCGAAAGAGATCTACATATATCTGTTATTTATCAACTCTAGAATTCCTTCAATTTGAATTTACAATGGACAAAAAAATAAATAATAATAATCGAGATACAATACATTTTTTTAATGTTAAGGTGACTATAGATAGAAGGTTTATTTAGGGATGCACCAATACAAATTTTTGGCTGATAGCGATACTGATTTTAACAAACATCTAAATGGAAATCAGAATTGTCTTAGTTTACATATGTAGCCTGATTCCCTGAGAGGGGAACACGTGTCATGGTTTGGAAACATTGGGAACGCTTTGTGTGAGCCAGTGTCTGAAGCCTGTGTCTATACACGCCAAACGTCTCGGGTTACTATTGTAACCCTCGTACCCTGAGTAGGGAATGAGACACTGCATCGATACTCCACGCTTTGGGGAATGCCTTCGGCATGTAGCGTCTGAAGTCAACTATGGAATCATTCCAATCTCGATTGGTGTAGCATCATTACGTCACTCGTGACGTCGCATGTGACGGTGATCCAGAAGCTATAAAAGGTCACAGGAAACAGGAAGTGTTAGCTTCTGATTGGTCAATTGACCGTTGTTCTCAGGAGCGCGGAAAGTGTGGCCGAGGGATGCAGTGTCTCATTCCCTACTCATCTACATCTAGATGAACTAACTCCTCCCTGCCCGAGGTCTAAGCTAAGGGCCTCCAAGGCTATGACCTTGACCATCCGACACATGCGATGGAGGATGGAATACCTGAAGAATCATGATATTGCCCACAGGCACCTCAGTGCCTGGGCAAAATAAGATAGAGTGGCCCCCGCGCTGACAAGTAAGAGGAAGCAGCACCAGCACTCTTCCATGGAGCAGGATGAGCAGGAAGCATACTCAAACAGATTCTATATATGATGAATACCCAGAGAATCATGATATTACCTATAGGCACCTCAGTGCCGAGGCAGAGATAAGATAGAGTGGCTCCCACGCCCTCGAGTAAGAGGGGGCAATGCCACCGCTCTTCCTTAGAGTAGGACGAACAGGAAGCAGACTCAAAAGCTTCTTATATATTCTCATATAACTCATCTACAGGATATGACGGGTGCCAGGGATAACCCGTCAGCCTGATTCCAATAGGCTAGATGACAGGATTCATCCTCCAATCTACAGGAACATGGAGTTTTTTTAGTGGGAATGTCCCTACGAGCTCACCCTTAGAAGCTCGCGGAGGGCACTGAGGCCTCCACATAGGCCCTTAGCATGAACGGGAGGTCCCGTTAGAGAACAAGATGGAACGCCAGTACTGAAGCCAGTGGGCAGTATTTAACTGGGTTCAATGCCTTATGGATGACCTAACCACCTCGGTGGAAAGGGCAACCTATTTATGGGTTGGTCCCCCTCAGTGGCCAGACCCATAGTCTCCATCTCTCCGTCCGTGGATGAAATATTGTACCATCGGCCTGGGAAAGAAGATCTCTCCTAATAGGGACTTGCCAGGGAGGACTCTGCAAGAGACTAATAAGGTCCGAAAACCAAATTCGGGCCGGCCAGTATGGAGCTACAAGGAGTAAGCTCACACCGTACCTGCTGACCCTTTCCAGAACCCCAGGGAGCAGAGCGATCGGGGGAAAAGCGTATGGACGTGACCATGGTCACATCTGTACCATGGCATCCAGGCCCAAAGGAGCTGGATGTGAGAGAGAGTACCAGAGCGGGCAAAGAGTGTTCTCACGAGAGGCGAACAGGTCAACCTCCGCCCGGCCAAACTCTCTCCATATAAGCTCAACTACTTCAGGGTGGAGCCGCCATTCCCCGGGCCTCAGCCCCTGCCTCGGCAGGATATCTGCTCCCACATTATCAACCCCAGGAATATAAATAGATCTGACAGAGAGAAATTTATCCTGGGACTATAGAACAATCTGATGCGCCAGTCTAGAAAGAGGGTGTGATTTCAGACCTCCTTGGCGGTTGATATAAGAGACCACCGACATATTGTCTGTCCTAACGAGAACATGATGGCCTCTGAGGTCTACAAGGAAGTGCCTCAGGGCAAAGAATACTGCCAACATCTCTAAGTGATTAATATGCCATGAGAGATGATGGTCCTTCCAAGTACCTCGGTTGTAACGGCCCTCCATAACCGCACCCTGTGCGGGACGCATCCGTAGTTTTTTTTCTGACATGGTGCTCCCAACCCCGGGCCTTGAGACAGGAATCATGGTTTCTTCCACATGTCAAGAGCACGAAGGCATCTGCGCGTAACTCTGATCATGTGAAAGGTGTTCCCCAGCGGAGAAAACCCCTTGGTCGTGAGCCACCACTGCAAGGCCCTCATGTGGAACAGACCAAAAGGAATTGCATTGGAAGCTGCAGCCATGAGGCCCAAAACTCTTTGAAAGTGCTTGACAGTGATGACCTGGTCTAACCTAATACTCTTCATTGTGATTAAGATAGTATATATACGAGCAGGAGACAATTGTGCCCGCATCGTAATTGAGTCCCACACTACCCCCAGGAACATAGTCCTCTGAAGAGGAGTTAAGGAACTTTTCTTCACATTGAGTCTCAACCCCAAGAACCTCAGATGATACAAAACAACATCTCGATGTTGAATTGTAAGCTCTTCTGACTGAGCCAGAATGAGCCAGTCATCTATATAATTTAAGATACGGATCCCCTGAAGTCTCAGTGGAGCAAGGACCACATCCATACATTTAGTGAAGGTGCGAGGAGATAAGGCTAGGCCGAACGGAAGAACCCTATATTGATAAGCTTTTCCCCCAAAAGTGAATCGAAGGAACCTTCTATGTTGTGGGATGATGGAAATATGAAAATACGCATCCTTAACCCTCTGGGGTCCAAGGTGTTTTTGGGGTCCTTGAGATGTTTTGACATACTCTGACATTTGTGCTTTTTTCAGTTGCTTATAAACAAATTACTGGCAAAGGTGTAATTACACTCTATTTAGCACAAACAGGGCTACCATATGTTATCAACATGTATGTACATGTTTGTATTTTTGAGAGAATATTGTTTATGCGTGGTTATTGAAAAAAATAAAACTTAAAGTTTCTGAAATAAGGCCACAAAACACATACTAAATATGTGTCCACAAGACTTTTGACTAATGGATGTTGTCGCCTAGAGTTTTTTCTTCAAAATGATCTGAAAATCATCCTGCCTTATCATTCACATAAAACAATAGATTGGTTTAAATTTAAAAATGACACTTTTTGTTTGGAAAGGCAATATGCGCAGGGGTGTGACCTGCTGTGATTCACACCTGAGAAGACAATGGGCCCGCATAATGAGCGCATAATGGGGCTGCATAATAATTACCCTTTCATTCAGGTGTGTCACTGAGCCACAAGAATGCAATGACAATATATATATATATATATATATATAGGCCTATATAATACAAAATTGGTTCACAGTTCCAATTATTTATTTATTTTTCAAATTGTGCTTGCAAATTGTATAATATCAAATGTAAACATTTCTTGTAATTGTGCAGTTAATTCTCATACTGTTTTTACAGAAAGTTTGGGAATATATCCCAAATGTGTCACTAATAAAACACAATACAAATAATTTAAAGAGGAGGCTTATATTGAGCTTTTAAGATTTACCTAAGATTTATTTATATGTAGCCTACATATGTGGCCAGGTGGATGCTGCACATTGGTGGTGGTTGAGGAGATCCCCCCTTCAATGTAAAGCGCTTTGAGTACCCAGAAAAGCGCTATATAAATGTAACTAATTATATATTTTTGCTTTTTTAATAAAAAGGTTACAATTACAACAACAATT